CCAAAAAAAATTGCCGGAATTATTTTCATAGAAAATAATTGAGAGAATAATTTCTTAATCCAAATTCTAAAAATTACAGTAGGTCTATATAACTACAGTCTATCGTCGTCATAAAGCAACACACCTTAGTTACTTTTAAGGCTTGGTATCTATAAAATTATCAATTGTACATGTATAGATGATATTTGAAACGATCTGGACACCTTTAACGCACCAATTTTGTCGGATATTTTTCAATAAATTTTGAAAAATAAGGGTTGCTTTTTAACCAGACTACAGATTTTACATCGAATTAACAAAATACAATATATCAATCTTACAAAGTCCGTGATTCGAATTTGTTAATTACTGAAATAACAATGTTTTTATCGTAATTTTTATGTCAACGCCAACGAACACAATTAAACCACGGCGCGCTTTATAATTGCAAACGTATTAAAAATAATGGTAAATTCGATCCATGAAATTGTACATCAATTAGTATTATTAGGACAGAATGTTAGTTACGAATGCTATTTAAGTTAGTATACAGATTAAATTAAATTACTATGAATTTCACGTACTTAATTTTTTGTCGCTCCCGTTACGTTACTTTGATTGTACTGCTTCATCGTTACCAAATACCAGCTTGCCAATCGTTTTACGTATATGTATATAATATGTCAGTTTCTATCGATTTGATTCATTATGAAATTATATTATTGTTATAGTGCACTACAACGCTGCTTATTTTTTTCCTTTCAGTTCTATGTAGCAGCCGGGTGAGCCAAATGACCAAGACGTATAATGACATAGAAGCAGTTACACGGCTTCTGGAAGAGGTAAATTACATCAGTTTGTAATTGACATATCTACGGGGTGATGTTAAGAGTAGTGTACCGTTCGAAAGTACGGAAAATACAGAACAATGGGGACATTAATTTCAGTTGTTCGAGTGGTCGTGAAGGAACGTACATTTGCATGTGCGCCGTTTCAAATGGAAATTGCTAATCATTATTATTATTAGACTGTGGAGTTTTACGCGAAATAAAAATTGTCTAAGTTAATTGTAAGAAACGTAAGTCTGATCAAAATATCTTTCCCCTTGTAGTCATTTTAATAAGTTGCATATAATATAAAGATATTCTCAAATTCATGTAATGTCTTCAGTTTTATATTTCACCTAATCATTCTTGCCAAAAGTGCATAAAATTCGTAGTCTAATTATTATATTTGTTACAAAAACTTTTCATTCACTTTTTTTGTTGTTAGATTTTAACTGATTTTATCAGATTTTAACACAATTTCTTAAATATGAAACAACATATATATTAAATATAATTAATAATATTTCCACTCGATTGTTGAAACTATAGGAATTTTCTAATTGGAAAATTTAATTTGCTCCTCGTCCTGAATTTTATGATATAATCATCAAAAATTGAGATATCCACATAAGTATCCACAGTCTAATATTCACCGTTATTATTATATTACATCATATGTAACTGTTTTTGGAACACCCTTTATAAAATAAGAAAACTTATTAATTAGCAAGGTCTGGTACCATTTTCATTTTGTTTTTACAAGGAGTAGTCGTTTAGTTGACGAAGCAAACTTTTCCATAATTCTAATTTTTGTAAAGTGGCGTATAAAATTGAAAATTTGCATAAAGATCGAAGGTCTATTTATTATTCCTGAAGAAGAATGGGTATCGATCTTTTCGCTTTTATCTGAAATATTTTTGTTTGATCATAGCAACTGTACTAGCAATNCCAAAAAAAATTGCCGGAATTATTTTCATAGAAAATAATTGAGAGAATAATTTCTTAATCCAAATTCTAAAAATTACAGTAGGTCTATATAACTACAGTCTATCGTCGTCATAAAGCAACACACCTTAGTTACTTTTAAGGCTTGGTATCTATAAAATTATCAATTGTACATGTATAGATGATATTTGAAACGATCTGGACACCTTTAACGCACCAATTTTGTCGGATATTTTTCAATAAATTTTGAAAAATAAGGGTTGCTTTTTAACCAGACTACAGATTTTACATCGAATTAACAAAATACAATATATCAATCTTACAAAGTCCGTGATTCGAATTTGTTAATTACTGAAATAACAATGTTTTTATCGTAATTTTTATGTCAACGCCAACGAACACAATTAAACCACGGCGCGCTTTATAATTGCAAACGTATTAAAAATAATGGTAAATTCGATCCATGAAATTGTACATCAATTAGTATTATTAGGACAGAATGTTAGTTACGAATGCTATTTAAGTTAGTATACAGATTAAATTAAATTACTATGAATTTCACGTACTTAATTTTTTGTCGCTCCCGTTACGTTACTTTGATTGTACTGCTTCATCGTTACCAAATACCAGCTTGCCAATCGTTTTACGTATATGTATATAATATGTCAGTTTCTATCGATTTGATTCATTATGAAATTATATTATTGTTATAGTGCACTACAACGCTGCTTATTTTTTTCCTTTCAGTTCTATGTAGCAGCCGGGTGAGCCAAATGACCAAGACGTATAATGACATAGAAGCAGTTACACGGCTTCTGGAAGAGGTAAATTACATCAGTTTGTAATTGACATATCTACGGGGTGATGTTAAGAGTAGTGTACCGTTCGAAAGTACGGAAAATACAGAACAATGGGGACATTAATTTCAGTTGTTCGAGTGGTCGTGAAGGAACGTACATTTGCATGTGCGCCGTTTCAAATGGAAATTGCTAATCATTATTATTATTAGACTGTGGAGTTTTACGCGAAATAAAAATTGTCTAAGTTAATTGTAAGAAACGTAAGTCTGATCAAAATATCTTTCCCCTTGTAGTCATTTTAATAAGTTGCATATAATATAAAGATATTCTCAAATTCATGTAATGTCTTCAGTTTTATATTTCACCTAATCATTCTTGCCAAAAGTGCATAAAATTCGTAGTCTAATTATTATATTTGTTACAAAAACTTTTCATTCACTTTTTTTGTTGTTAGATTTTAACTGATTTTATCAGATTTTAACACAATTTCTTAAATATGAAACAACATATATATTAAATATAATTAATAATATTTCCACTCGATTGTTGAAACTATAGGAATTTTCTAATTGGAAAATTTAATTTGCTCCTCGTCCTGAATTTTATGATATAATCATCAAAAATTGAGATATCCACATAAGTATCCACAGTCTAATATTCACCGTTATTATTATATTACATCATATGTAACTGTTTTTGGAACACCCTTTATAAAATAAGAAAACTTATTAATTAGCAAGGTCTGGTACCATTTTCATTTTGTTTTTACAAGGAGTAGTCGTTTAGTTGACGAAGCAAACTTTTCCATAATTCTAATTTTTGTAAAGTGGCGTATAAAATTGAAAATTTGCATAAAGATCGAAGGTCTATTTATTATTCCTGAAGAAGAATGGGTATCGATCTTTTCGCTTTTATCTGAAATATTTTTGTTTGATCATAGCAACTGTACTAGCAATTGTTTCAAAGGTGTACATAAAATAAATCTAGACTTATTGCAGCAACCACGTGGAAATTTTCTAATATTATATCTTCCATTTTGAGAATCAAGAAACATCATCTTATGGTCACATTTGAAAATTCTATTCTTTAGGGAAATGCAGAAAAATCGATTTCTTTAAACATCCTGATTACAATAACTCTTCAAGACTATATTATCTCGTAAAATTTTTAAATCCCAATTAAACTTCATTGGAGCTACTAATACCTCAACATCTATATAATAAAATTGCATCAAATGAACTATTCAACGTTGATGTCCTCGAATCCTTCGGTTAATGGACCGATTGAAACATTTCTTTCTTGACTGTGATTTTACAGAGAGCTCATCAAAATAATTACACTTTATTCGTCTATAATAATGATGTATTACTTTTACGGCCTTGTAACTTTTTATACTCATCTTTCAGCAGTAATTAAACGGAGTATAGTTAGTGTCAGGAAATAGTTCTTTTGCAATCGATGTGTTCGATAGAACATTATTATGTGTGTTCGGTAGAACATTATTATTTATGGGCAGAGTAATCTAATCGAATTTAAATTTCTATTCCCGGTCCAGTAATATCATAATTTGTAAAAATTCTTTGCATATACTTGTTTTGATCAAATTAATTTTATGGTCAACAGGAAAAAAGAGATTAGAGTTAAAAAATCATTTTAAATTTAAATTTTAAAAGATTTCTTTTAAATTCTTCGCTTTAATATTACTTGTAAATAATGTTAACATTTTTATGAAAAATAAAAATGTTGATGAAATTTAAATTAATAAAAGGATTGAAAGCATTTAAAAATTTCAATGTGTTAAGGAAAGAATGGTGTTTCTATTTGGCTCTTGTTCCTTATACTTGATGCGCACAATTTTCATAAAGTTAACAAATATAGAGAGCATATATAATATTAGAGCAAATATAATTATAATTAACATCCTTATCTATAAGAATTCGAATACGTGATTTTATTGTCAAATTGTGTTTCTATTTTGCAGAAAGAGAAGGATTTGGAACTAACCGCGCGCATTGGAAAGGAACTGTTATCGCACAACCAGAAACTCGAGACTACGGTTACGAGTTTGGAGTCCGATTTGAAGGAAGCTAACGAAAGGATCACTCAACTAACGCACGAGCTTACGAAGAAAACCGAGATCATCCAAATTTTAACAAATGACACCGAAGAAACAAACTCTGAAGCCGGTACGCCCACCGGACTTCGTAGTATCAATCTTGAAATGATGCAGAAGAAAATAAACAGTCTCGAGGACGAGAATAAACACTTACGGACGGAATTCGCGAAATTAGTACACGACACCGACAATTCAGAGGAACAAGAAGCGAAACTTGTCAAGGACATTGCAGCTCAACTTGGTTAGTCAATTGTAACGTTCGTAAAGTTCAGTGAAATATCTGGCTTATTTGCATAATTATCTTGAGAGTCAAGATCATCATATTATAGATTGCTGAGTTTGTCTTTGCAACGTGGCATTGAAAATAAATGTGCATTGCCTTTGAGAAAACTCAAAACCGCCTTAATACAGATATAAAAAAGATTTTTTGATGCAACCAATTCATACAGAGTTATTTTTAATAGTTGTTCTCACTAGCTGACCCCGTATAACCCTCGTTAGCTGCAACAGTAGCATTACACAAAACTTATAGTTTTTGAGTTATTGATCCAGATGAATCTATTTTTGTTTATACTTTGCACAAGTAGAATTGTGCGAGTTCCCTAAATTCACATTAATACGTTCAATCCAATTGAAAATAACATTTTTTAATTTTTTTTACATTTAAATTTCAAGAGAAGTGTCACATTTCATATCATTATTTTCTTCATCATAATATAATTGTATAGCTTAATGTTAAGTTAGCCCATTATATTTTGTTTAAATGGATTTAAGCAAACAAGTAATGCAAGTTGAGAAAATGTTATGATTCATAATAATAAGTATACACAAAAAGAAGTATGTATATTTTATGGATCTCAAAGATTATACATTGGATAGCTAGGGACCACCCAGTATGAAATGTGTTATTCAATACTACATTGTTCACCGGTGATCCAGAGAGATGTGAAACCATGTGACACGGTTCAACTGAAATAATCAATTACATAGCTGTGCATATTATATTATAGTAGAGTTAGTGATTGTCCATTAACTATCTCCGTACCTTGAATATTAACTTAAGTTTTTCAATTAAAAAATAAGTTAGTTATATTTCATCTTTTCTTAACCTTTATACTGTTAAGAATATCTCTGTAAAGCAATTTTATAACAGTTAATTTTGACATTACCAGATACTATTTAGTTACCATGCAATTTGATTATTATACCTGTTCATTACTATTAAATTAAGGTTGTAGTGATACAAAAATAAATACACATGCTTCATATTGATAATTGGTGACCTACACGGAATATACGTATTTGAACTACTAAATTATTGTTTTTCGTTTATAATGAGCCAACATTATTAAAAATAAATTCTTAATTAATTCTTAATTACAGCGAGTGCAAACATGGAGGTAGACGGGATTGCAGAGGAGCTCGACAGGCAGAAAGAAGAAAATCGATTACAACACGAACAAATTATTAGTTTGACGGCAAAACTGGCGGAAACGGAATTGAGATTGGCACAGTTGATGGCTGAACATGACGACGTTGGAGCAACTTTGCTCATCACAAGGGACAACCAAAATACTCTTGCGAGTGAGCTGGCTGAATTTAAGGATCGATATGCGGAGGTATATCACCTAATTCGAATCAATTCCCAATTTCGTATATTTGTCTCATTCTTTCCTATATTTAATTTACGTTATAATCTGAATTTTTGGAAGCGCTTAAGAGACTAATTGAAACTAAGAAAAAAATTTATGAATTCGATGTCAATGTTAATAGTAAGATTAATAATAATTGCAAATGCTAGTAGATTTGATAGTTACATAAAATAGTGAATGGTTTCAATTTTCAATATTTTATTTTGGCTTTAAACAGGAAATTGGGATTGTGCATCAACAATTTTAGTTATTCAGTTAATTAGACGAATAAGTTACCAACAGCAATAATTATTCAATCCATATTATGAAATATGAAAGACGTTACTTAATATCATTAATTAGTTTGTAAAATGTTAACGATACGGGTTGAAAGTACTATTATTGATCATGTTTTATATAATATATATAAGTTCTTCTAGGAATCGTAAATTTAAAATATTTCTCTTAACTATTCACAATATTTCTATACTTGTTTCACTGTTATCATTTTTACTACAATGTTAATAAAGTATGCTATCAACGTGAATAAAAGTAATTCATGTAAAAGAAATGTTATATGTTCAATAACATTATAATTTTCTTGTTAAAGGTGGTGAATTTGTTAGCGGAAACTCAAGAACAATTACGAAAACAGAGGAAGAGAGGAATGCCAACTGTCAGAGGAGGATCTTTGTTTCCTTCAATGGGGGCTGCTCCGCAACCGGATTCCATTGCATCGGAATTAGAATCCTCTCTTTATTCCGAACTCAGCTTAGATTCCGGTATCAGCACTGACAGAGTGTACGTTATTTTATTTATTTGCATTGAACCCGTTATAGCATTTTAAGCTACTATTGTATACTGTTAAAAAGCTAAGAAGTCTTCTTTCTAAGCTTACTTTACTTTTGAATAATGATTAGGCTTGTAACTGTTTTGAAGATTTATTTAACGCAATTATTTTTGTATAGTATAATACATTCGATTATACACGTATTGAATTTAAATTTAAAAAATTACTTTGTATTGAATAACATCTCAGCATTAGAGAATATAGATAAAAACTTCTTTAATTCAGTAAGCTACTATAAGTTCAACAATATGTCTATTGAAAGATACAAACCTATCCCGGCTTATTTAAAATAGATGTATTTAACATAAGTAAAAGAGGTATTAATATTTGTCATTTATTATCTGATGTTAATTGATTTACATGTTTGTCATCATACAGGCCTACATACAAGAAAGTTTTCGAAACTGTTAGAAGCGCTTCAAGAAATTCTTATGCAGCTGATAATAATCAATTCCCAAGAATAGGATCGATGACTACCTCAACATTATCAACTGGTTCTACTGGACCTAGAATGAGTTGTGGGCAAATTAGACCTCCAGCGTCGACGTTCCCCAGTTTGGATTCTGGCCACAGCGATTCGGAAGGCTCTCTGCTTACAGATTCTGAAGAATATCCGTAAGTTTGTGAATTCTCCTTAGAACTTCTTCTGTGGTAATATTTTGAACCAACAATTGATTATCAAAAGACAGTTGACATCGTTCGATTCCTTGTGTAATCTTTGCTAAATTGTGTATTTCTGTAAGACATGTAGTGTTGCAGGGCTAATTAAATAGGAAATGTAAATACATTCAGTGAAATATTTTCGTAAATATATCACTAATTTAAAGCATAACTAAAGTTATTAATTATCCATAGAAGATCGATTCTGATAGTTTGAATTTCTATAATTTTTGATCTAAATATTTCAATACGTTTTTAACAGAGTTATAGTGATAGAGATTTATAAGAAGAATTCGAATGAACTTTCAGAGGACCTCAAAAAGCGGGAATACCCGGAGCTCCTGGTGCAGCAGATCTCGAAGCAGCTCTTCGAAGATTAACACCTGCAGAAGTTATAGCTCGACGTGCTTGCCTTAGCACCGGTACAGGATACACATACGATTATGATGCTGGAGTAAATTCGCCGTCAGCCTTCGTGCCTCTTGGTTGTAGAACTCCAGACAGCATCATGTCCACAGGAAGTAGCGCCAATTTAAGTGGTTATAGCGGAAATGCTTGGAGACTTCCTGAAAAATTGCAAATAGTCAAGCCGATTGAAGGTTCACAAACGTTGCACCATTGGACACAATTAGCTACACCAACATTGGGTAAACATCATATACTCATTTGTCTCAAGTATTCTTAACACTTCCTTTTTTATATCAGAAAGTATGTAAATGTGAATAAACATATAAATTAAATAGTTTCGAACTAATAGAAAATTTGATAAACACAGTTTGGTAAACAAATCAACAAGACATTTTGTTATACTTTTCAATAATAGTGGGACTTTTATCCTAACTAGTATTTATCACTATGGTGTTATATATCATTTTTGCTGGGGATTTAAGATATGAAATGCGTGTCGTATTTTTCAGGTGGACTGTTGGAGGAACGACCTGGGGTGATGACTCGAGGAGGTCGTGGTCTGGAAGATTTAGGCCTAGTCACATTTACTTTAAGCGATCTTGAGGAAGATGAAGAATATACCAATCCTGGAAAACTCTTCCAAGACACAGGCTCCGTGTACACATACACTAATAGTACGGTTCTCCATCCAGACGATCATACTAATGTAACTTCAAGTCTCGTTGGTAGCAGAGTTGCGACTGCACCTAGTAGTGCTTTAAATTCCGGAATGAGTACTCCAAGAACTTTAAGTAGAAGGAACTCGACTTCAACATTTTCGACAACACTTGGACTTGCGAAGATGCTGAATGAAAGAGGTAGATGTACAGTAAATTCTCTTTTCAATTGTCCCCCAGCTTATAAACAAAAATGGACAATTTAGGAAGAGGAGATGCGATTATTCGAGTCTCGAACCTCGTTCTTATAGTTGTTAACAATCGGCGACTACAAAAACGAGCCGCGAGGCTCTTCTCAAATTGTTCATTGGAGAAAATTTACTGTACATACAATCTTTTCAAGAATTTACACGAATTATTGAAAATGTTATACTATATAAATTTTGTATTATTTATTTTGTTAAAATAGGTATAAAAGCTGTAACGCCTTCTTGCGTTGGTACTCCAAGTGGAGAGAGAAATTACACACCTACTGCAACACCTTGCAATAGTCCTGATGCTAGTCCGCCAGATAGTCGATCCAGTTCACCAACTCCAGAGAGTGGGATTTCTCTTGGATTGTTATCCACTGGAGCAGAATTATTAAAAAGAACGTTTGGTGGAGAGACAGTGGTACGTACAGTATTTTGTTGACCTTCTCGTAAAAACATGTTTAAAATAATTCAAATACAAATGAACGATATACAATTAAAAATAAAAATTTCTAATTTAACGACAAAAACATCTAAATAAAGAAAAACTTACCTATTTATTAGAGCTCAACTCATAAATTTTGTTACATGGCGCTAATTTCATTGTAATTCGAACAAAAATTTTATTTTATTTTGCAGCAGTCGAAAAAGAAGCGGACAGTACTTTCAAGATCCGAGAAGAAGGCTCTCACTGGTATTCGGCTAGTAGAGAAGCTCGAACGGATTGGCATTGATACTATTATGGCTACAACAATTGGTTCTTCTATCTCTCCGTTAGCTTTTCAAGGTTCTTTATACACCAGGCGTGCTACTGACAGTCCCATGACTCAGTTAACTTTCCTAAGAAGCTCCATGTCCTCAAGTGGAAGTCAGGAGAAACTTTCACCTTCTTCCTCTGTAAGTGATTCCTCATCAACCAAACGACAACTTGCTGACAAGAAACAAAATGAGTCCACATCGGGCAGGGAGACAAACAGACAAAGGAGAACTGGTGCTAGGGCCACGAGGCCCGATCTTGGACAGGTTACACCTGCGGTCCCTGTCACTGTTACGAAAGAATCACCTGCGCAATCCGCTTTGGGAACTATTAGTTCGCTTTTATTTGGGCGGAAGGGTGGATTACTTTGAAACCACTGTTCCTTGCGTGTTATATATATTAATATGGAAATCTTACTTAGATAAAATTTCAAGAGAATCAAATAAAAGATTGTCGGAGCGATGAGAAAATTGATTATTTGTTTTCTTCCATGAAGTTGTTTCGCAGTATTCTTCAGCATAAAATAAAAAAGGTTTTACATTTTAAATGTAAACAGAAATATAAGATAAAATATCGTATTACAGAGAATGAATGATGTAAGCCTTAAATCTTTACTTTTCATATAATATATATATAAGATAATTTGTTCTGTGACAATTGTTATCGATTGTTACATCCGGTAACAATTGATCGTGTTTTTATTTCATAATATATTTTTAAAGATTACTTTGCATACAAAATATTATGCATGTTCTCTAACATTTGTTTCAAGATACAGTACTTTGTATCGAATTTGAAAGTCTGATGGTTTTGTTGTGCAGTGAAATAATTTTCACCACAAGATGTAACTTTTTATGTATTAATTATTAATATTTACATATTTTAATTCATATCATGAGGTATCAACATACATACAAGTCATACTGGTACTACTGAGTAGTGACTAAACATTCCTTATAATGCTAGTGTTGACAAATATATTTTAAATAATGCTTTTATTAAAAAATGGGTTTTCTAATCAAATACTTACGGATTATGTTTTAATCCTCGCGATACTACCAGGATCCGTACACATTCTCGTTTAAAGAGGTATTTTCTTACGTTTCATGTGTCGTCGCTCAAATCGATAAAAGTTTAGTTATATCTTTTAAAAATCTTATTAATGTGATAACTCTTTCATGAATTTTGGGCAAAAATAGCCATAGTTTAAATTATCAAATTAAAGGATAAACTAAAATTCAAAAAATATAACAAATCAATTATATGTTTTTTTCTGAAATTATATTCTACACTGTCTATATCTGCATTTCGATTCAAATAGATCCTAAAGTCATACGGTGAGGGTTAATAGTGTGTATGAAAACTAAAAATGGTTTGTTTCTACAAGAGAACGTAGTTCAGTACAGAGTAAACTTATAGTCAGTTCCAAAAATTACAGTATTATATGTAATCTACATAATTTTATATTCTCTAGATAATTAATTTTTCAACGCTCCGACAGTTGACAATTTGGGGAAATTTAACAACATCTTTTAATCGTTTTATTTCTCAAACATGAATTATTTCATTTTGTAAATGATTTATTGTACATAAGCGATTCATATTTGAAAAAAAAGAATAAAAATATTCCGTAGTTACTGCGTAGCATGAAAACCAAAAAAAATGTATATGATTACTTTTAGTGCTCTTTGGATTAGTAAAGATTAATTCAAGCACGTACAATAAAATAATTTGAAATTGTTAGTTTCTACATATTCAAGGATGCCGAAGGCTAGGGAAGTGTATTATGTAAATTAATTTACATTGTATAGAGAATATCACGATGTAGAAATTAATACTTAAAAAAATGACTTAGGACGTTGCAGTCATTAAGTAATTATGAAATGCTACAATTTATTCAATACGAATTTTATGAATGATAGTGACGTTTTGTGTTACCGCAGAATACAAGTAATTTCTTTTTAAGTGAAAGTGTTCAATTTAATCAATAGTATATATTAGCTTGATTTACTGAAAAAGTCACCTCTTGCGAAAATTCAAATATTAGTAGTGTACAAATAAAACAAAATTAGTTAGCGTTAAATTGGTGATCTATTTTATATATTTAGTTATTTTTTAATTTCGTACGCGCCGGTGTGTCAACAATGACACAACAAAAACTACGAAGAAATGCAACATTAATATTGCACTTTCATGTAAAAGCAGATACGTGACTTTACGTCTGAAAAATAACCACGATAAATAGAAATGAATTTGTAACCGAAATGATGTGCAAATTACAAGAAGAAACATTCTCAAAACAAATATCGAAAATATTTGAATAAAGTTGCAGCGAGTTTTGTACGTCGGAGCACAATTTTTAGGGACAGAAATTTTAGGGTGCTTTAAATTAATTTATCTTTGGTTCCTTAGTAGTAGGAATTTACTATATATTGATCAATTATGGTTTAGATTAATTGGTTAATTGGATTACTACTGTTGGTCTTTTGTCTAGAGATCACACAGATAGTACTGATAATTAATTAATTATCGGTTAATTAATGATCGTTCGACTGAAAGTAATTATTTTTAATTATGTCGCTAATATATTCCTTTTAGAAAATGATCTCTTGTAAATAATCTAATAATGAATTATTACTAATTAATGTTTTCAACACAGACTGGATAATACGTCCAAAGTTGACTTTTACAAAAACTGTAGAGATATTTGCATCCAAATGCAGCTATCAACGCTGAAATTTTATGCGACTTATAATCACAATTATAATCAACTTTTTTATTTCAAAAGACACTTCTCAAAAAGATTAAATTATAACTTGATTATAATAAACCGTTCAAAGAGTATTTGAAAGGAAAGTAGTGATACTGATTACTTTTATAAAATTAAATGAAATTAATTTTATAATTATGTATTGTTAAATTAATTGATCAATAATTAATCGATCAATGATTGATCAATTGCTTCTGTAAATAATAATGTGGGATTTTCCTTTTACTTTGCCTCTTTTTTTTAATCGATTTTGATTAAAAAAATTGATTGCGATGTTTGTAGCGTGTTTAATCGTGAACCGCTGTTGTATTCGTGGAAGGACCTCTGTCTTGTATTATAGGGAAGAGGAATGTTTAGCAGGCGCAGCCTTGTACATAGACAAGTATCGATTAATAAATTAAATTGAAAAAATCTTGTAGTGTTTTTATTTTTCTCCGAAATATATTAGGTGGATTGGAAAATTTTTTCGTTTCTTTTTTCCAAGAAAAGAAACTAATTTTGTTAATGACTAATATACTCATTAATTTTGAATTCAAACTCCATTGTTGTGTGATTCTTTTTCAGGATTCATATCATTTGATTGAAATATTCTGGTAGGAAATACAACATAATTTGTCCACCACTTTCAACACAGATTTCATCGCTAGATATTTTTACTGTGTAGATATTAAATACAATATTAAAATATACTGTCTCATAAAATACCCATGTTTTTTGCCCAAGCTATTACTTAAGTTAAGACTATAATAAATTTAATAGACACATGGTGTAAAAAGACAAGCTGATACACATCTTGTAGTATTTTAAATAGAGATACTAGTTCTTTATACGTAAATATTTTCAAAATCATCTTGCTTTTTTATTGTGAATCTGTATTTTTTATTTCGAAATCACATTCTATGTTGACAAATGCACAACATTTGTTTGTAAGTCCAATATTTTTTAAGATATACAGGATATTCAACGAAAAGTGATACAATGCAATATCTCCGTTATCATTAACGATACTTAAAAATGCTGAAGTGGTGATGAAATGCCATGGTAAAACTGTAGTCTACATACGAGTATAAAAGAAAATATCCTGTTGCGTATTGTTCGGGGGGATTAGGGGATTTTGAGAGATTTGGATGCCCGTGGAATTCTACTCGTGAAGGATTACTTCGACAGGAAACAAAATTGGAGTCCTGATGATTGATGGTAGTGGTGCCTCGACGGTGCGTGCACGAGGGTGAAACCTGCCAAAACGAAAGTTACGGCAATTTTTATTTAGATAAACATTTTGCCCAACTCTGTCCACCAAATGCTATTTTGATCGGCCATAGGTCTCCTTCGAAAGTACAGCCAATAACACACTTACAAAAAACAATACATAAAATTACTTATAGAAAAACATAGATATGTATGTAATAAACATTCTATTATTCATTTGTAGTGTACAGTATAGTATAGGTATGTAATTACATATATACATGTTCTAAGAGAGTGATGTTTTGAAAATAAACACAATCATATGTTACATCTTCATACATATCTTCATATCCCTCTGGTTTATGAAGGAGAATTACAATTACGAGTGCGAGTGTGACATACAAATATACAATATACGATACGTATGTCATATATGTAACATAACAGTGGTTGACTATGTTATCTGTAATTGATTCTATGATAATGCTTTGTGAGGATATTTTGTTGATTGTGTAACTAAATAATTATTTTGATAATGGAAACAGTTCGACCTTGTGGTTGTAAAGGAATAAGATCTTGTCTTTTCTGTGAAAAAGAATATAACATAACGAAACCGAATCTAAAACTTCAATTAG